TGAGACAGGGTTTCCTTGTAGCCCCAGCTGTCCTGGAACTCACTATGTAGACCAGGCTGGCCTTGAACTCACAGAGATCCGCCTGCCTCTGCCTCCCAAGTGCTGGGACTGAAGGTGTGCGCCACCATGCCCCACTGTAGCTAGAGCATTTTGACCTGGGGGCTTTTGTTGTTGGGTTGGGTGCCTTTTGGGGGGAGGTCTTTTTGAGACAGGGTCTTCTTGTAGCCCCAGTTGGCCTGGAACACACAGAGATCCGCCTGCCTCTGCTTCCCAAGTGCTGGGATTAAAGGCCAATTTATTTACAATTTGTGCTATTGGTCGCCTAATGGACTTGGTTGGGAATTAGTGATCATACAGTAAGAATTACTCCTCTTTCTTCATTTGTTTAGCAAAGGTGTCTTATTTGTAGTTAGTTCCATTTCAGTGTCCTAAATGAAGGGAAGCTGGTCTGGGCAGGGAGAGGAAATGCTTGTGGTGGAGTCCTTTCTGAAGTTTGAACTTGGTACTTCCAGTGCTAATACAACCCACAGAGTAAATGCTTCTGTGCTAATGTGTGGATCTATGGTGTTACAGAGAAATGCAGGCAGTAGTTCAGATGGAACCGAAGATTCCGATTTTTCTACAGATCTCGAGCACACAGACAGTTCAGAGAGCGATGGCACATCCCGCCGATCTGCCCGAATCACCCGCTCTTCAGCCAGGCTAAGCCAGAGTTCTCAAGGTAAAAGTCTTGTTTTTCCTGACTATGCCTCATGATAGACTGAATGGTACCATTTTATTGTATAGTTAGGGTAGAGACTGGTCCCTTGGCTTGGCATAGATGATAGAATCTGGCAAAATGTAGGGCAGATTCAGAAGTATCCTGTCTTCAGAAATGGTTTCTGTCGATACAGTGTTCGTTTGTAGACTGGCTGGCATAATAGGGATGAGACACAAATGTGGCTTGAGTTACCTGATTTTTTTTAAGACTATAGCATTAACCATCAGTCATCAGCAAAATGGGAATGTTACCTTTTTACTCTGTTAAAATTAGACTTAGGGGCTTAAATAGTCTCTTGAACTCGTTATTGAGGTTGATACTTCTAAAAGTATTCTGGAATGTAGTTAGAGTCATATTTGATAGATATAACAGTATGTGAATAAATACCCAGAATTTTTCTTTCATAGTGAAAGAAACAGAAAGCTTTCAGTTGTATTTAGCAGTTTGGACTGATTTGGAGGGTAACCTCGCCCCTCATAGTTCTGCTCAGGGACTCTTGGAAGGAAATACAGTTGTAGTTAATATACAAAGATGATCATCAGTAGTGATGATAGAGTAAATGGAAAAATCATAATGCTTTGAGCAATTAAATAGCATGGATGTACTCACAGCTGTGTGACCATGTTACAAAATGAGGGACAAATACCAGCTTCTTCAACCAAGAAGTGAGAATATTAACTCTTAGTAATTGCTTTCTATTTTAAAATTTCAACCAAGATATAACTATTTCTCTTGATTTCTCAACCTTTAAGTTTTAAACACAGTTGGGCCTATTGATAAATAGCTAATTGTAATTCAGGTACTATGTTGTGTACTGTGTAACTATAATAGAAAAATCAGCTTACAGTTTAATGAGTTAATAAAAGGCTTTTAGAAGGGTTTTCCATGAGTACTATGGAAAAGCTAGTGAGATGGTTCAGTAGTTAGATTCTTACTGCCAAGCATGACAACTTGATCCCTAGGACTGACCTACATGGTGGAAGGAGAGAGCCAGCTCCTGCAAATTGTCCTGTGATCTCCACATAGACATTGTGACACATGCACGCGAAAGTATGTATGTGCGTGCTTATACACATAACACAAATAAATGTGATTTTTTTTTTTTTTTTTTTTTTTTTTTTATTTTTTTTTTTTAAGAGTACTATGGAAGCCCAGAGGTGGGGCAACTACAGTGTTCTGAGCAGGTCTCCCAGAACAATCTGGTTAGGAGTCTAGTAGGAATTTACAAATCAAAAGATGTGAAAAATGTTTTAGGCCAAGGGAATAGTATATGCAAAGAAATAGGTACTGGAAAGTACAGTTAGCCATGCTCTAAAAGTTGTGAATATTCAAAACAGCTAGGAGATGCTTGAGCTTGGGGTCTCTGTAGGTTTTTTTTTCTTCATGACCACAGAGTTGCACAACTGGGAGCATCAGTCACAGTGCAGTCTATGTAAGGCCACCCTGTTTTGTGTGACATATAAGACAGCCTGTGAAAAAGAGCCCCTGGAAGTATACAAGCATACAACCTGGCTAACCTCTCCTGAAAGCTTGAGAATTTCAGTTTTCTTCTTTGATGGTTTTTTTATAATTTACACATTATCACAAGATTTTTGTTGTTGTTTAAAATACACGTTAGGGGCTAGAAAGATGGCTCAGTGGTTAAGAGGATTGTCTACTCTTCCCAAGGACCTGGGTTTGGTTCCCAGCACCCACTTGTTACCTAATACCCATCCTTAATTCAGGTTCCAGGGCATCCAGACCCTCTTCTGGCCTCCATAGGCATTGCACAACATAGGTGTGCTTAATGTACATGAAGACAAAATACACATAAAATTAAATAAATCAAAAATAACATACACTTTAATCTTACTTTGAATTTCTTTTATTTCCTGCAAGTGTCATCAGATTGGAGAGGTAAAAGGGACATGAGCACTTCAGGGTAGATTTCTCTATCAGACGAATTTAAAAAACTGTTTCATTTGTTTGTTTTGAGACCAAGTTTGTCCTTAATTAGCCCAGGGCAGCCTGGGAGTTTCTGACCCCCTGATTTAGACTCCTGAGTACTAGGAATACTTGAATGTTCTTGTCTTACTTTTAGAGTCTGTTATGACTTTGCATAAGAGTACAAGGATAGGAGCTAGAGAGATGGCTCAGCAGTTAAGAGCACTGGTTCTTGCAGAAGACCTGGATTCAAATCCCAGCACCCACAAGGCAGCTAACAAACCATCCAGAACTTCAGTACCAGGGGATCTAATGCCCTCTCCTGTCCTCCAAGGGCACTGCACAATACAGATGCACTTACATACAGATGTATGTAAATACATGCAGGCAATACACTCATACATGTAGAATAAAAATAAATTTTAAAAAATTTAAAAAGAGAGTACAAGGATAATCTAGAAAGCATGAATAAACTGGGGCTGGAGTGATGGCTCCATGGTTGAGAGCAAATACTGCCCTTACAGAGGACCCGAGTTAGATTCCCAGCACCCATGTTGAGTGGCTCATACCTGCCTGTCACTCTAGCTCCAGGGGAATCAGTGTGTATACAAACACACATAATTAAAAATGAGATAACTCAGCTGAGCATGGTGGCTTACGCCTTTAATTTCAGCACTTGGCAAGCAGAAGCAGCTGGATCTCTTGAGTTCAGGGCCAGTCTGGTCTACATAGAGAGTTCCAGGCCAGTCAGGGCTTTTTTTTTTTTTTTTTAAAAAAAACACCTTTGAAAAAAAGAAGCCCCCGGGTTGGGGATTTAGCTCAGTGGTAGAGCGCTTACCTAGCAAGTGTAAGGCCCTGGGTTCGGTCTTCAGCTCCGAAAAAAAAAAAAGAAGCCCCAAAATATGAAGTGTTTATATATTATTTATATATTATTGTTTTGTTGATTTTAGGGTATCTGTTGTGTGATGAGTTATAGTAATGGGGAAAAGGATGATGCAGTTAATACTGATAAGCACTTCTCACAATAACCTGTGAGGAATATGCTACTAGTATTTTCCTTTTTTATAGGTCGGAAAAAAAACTTTGAGAGATTAACTTGCCTAAGATGCCACAGATGGTTGCTATAGTGGAGTGGAATTAAGTTCAGTCTTCATTCCAGAATCTAATCTGTTCATGTTATGTATGTGGTATTGTTAGACCCGAGCTAAACTCTTTTGCTTATTGAAATAGGGATTTTGAGGATTTGTTGGGTTTTGTGAACATGAAAAGGAGCTACATTCTGATAAATCATATGGATGGGAATAAAATGAATTTTATTTTTTCCCCCTTGTTATATAATCAAACCTGGGATCAGATTCCAGCCCTGTTCGAAATTTGCCATCTTTTGGCTCGGAGGAGCCTGCCTATTCTACCAGAAGAGTGACCCGTAGTCAGCAACAGCCCACTCCAGTGACTCCGAAAAAATACCCCCTTCGGCAGACTCGCTCCTCTGGCTCTGAAACTGAACAAGTGGTCGATTTTTCAGATAGAGGTAAGTGGGTGTATGACTTGCTCATGTTACCAAGGCATCTGGTCAGTTTCCTTTTGAGGAAGGCTTTGGCACTGCAGAGAGATGCCTAATACTGTCAGTATTTGGGTCAACAAATACTATTTACCTGATTTCTTTTTGGTTAGTTGGGTTTTTTGGTTTTGTTCTTGGTTTTTGAAGCAATGTTTTCATCTGTGGCTGAGGCTGGCCTAGAACTTGTGATCCTCCTTCATAAGCCTCCAGAGTCCTAGGATTATAGATGTGTGTCACCATGCCCAGCATATGTAACTCCTTTCTTGTTTTTCACAGTATGTTTTGATTGCTAGAGTGCTGTTGAGGTCCAGAGCAGCTGGAGTGTATTAGATGGGGTGTGTCATAGAAAAAAAAGAGGTGAGGCCTTTTCAACCTCAACATGAAGGAGCTTTGACCCAGTTATTATTATAACTATGTTTATTAGTCCATTTTATATCCAAACTGCTGACTAGGAGTGAACTTTAGTAATGGGCAGTGTTAAACTACTGAGAATTTGATCTAGCAAGAAGCTTTATAGTAGTTGTTTGAAGTGACTTAGCTTCTTCCAGCCAACCAACACAGTCATTTGGTTGGTTTGCACAATTTCAATTTTTTAAACTTTTTTTTGAGTGTTTTTGATTTATTTTTATGTTTATGAGCATTATGCCTACATATCTGTAAGTGCACCCGTGTTGTGCAGTGCCCATGGAGGACAGAAGACGGTGTTGGATCCCCTGAAACTGGAGTTAAGGATGGTTGTTAGCTGCCGTGTGGGTGCTGGAATACGAATCTGGGTCTTCTGCAAGAGCTCTTAATTGTTGAGCCATCTCTCCAGCCCCTCAATTTTTAAATCTTTTTGGCAGTAGTTGGAAGTATAAGCTTTTTATATAAAAACTAGGATTAATAATTTCAAAAAATGGAATAGATCTAAGAATATTGAATGCCCATTTAACCATAGTAATTATTAATTGGACCTGAATAGTAGTTGTCTCCTTTGGATAGACAATGAGATACCTATTTGACTGTCTAGCCTTGTAGGCACTTGATTTGTAATCCTTGATATAAGAGTGTGAGATTTCTGGAGCTGGAGAGGTGGCTGTGTGATTAAGAGCACATACTGCTCTTTCAGGAAACCCAAGTTCCATTCCTAGCACCATGATGGGGCAGCTCACAACTGCTTATAGCTTCATCTCCAGAGGGTCTGACACCCTCTTCTGGCCTCTGTCGACCTGCATACTGAAGACAGACATTGCATATAATTAAAACTTAGATCTTAAAAACAATAATAATGGGGCTGGAGAGATGGCTCAGCGGTTAAGAACACTGACTGTTCTTCCAGAAGACCCGGGTTCAAATCCCAGTACCCACATGGCAGCTAACAACTGTCCATAACTCCAGTTCCAGGGAATCTGACAGTTTCTCCTGTTCTCTGTAGGCATTGCACAACACGGGTGCACTTACCTACATGCAGGCAATACACGCATACACATAAAATAAAAATAATAAATAAAATGTTAAAAAAAAAACCAATAACAAAAATAGTGTGGTACTGCACATGGCAATGATACCTTTAATCCCATTACTTGTCCTGGGGCAGAGGCAGGCAGTTATCTGTGAGTTCAAGGCTGGCCTTGTGTATATATAGCAAGTTCCAGGTCAGGCAGACCTACACAGTGAGACCCTGTCTCAGGACAAAAAAACAAAAAGATTAGAATTCTAAGATTATTGGATGTCAGTAATGTAACTTAAGAGTCCAAGTCCGTTCACACCACACACTGTTCATTGTGATCCAGAAAAGGTCATATTCATTTTTCTGTCCTGTATATCTTCAGGAAGGGAAGTAGGTTAGTAATTTATTTTTCCAATAAATAGCATAATACATTTTGGTGAATTTATTAAATAATATTAAGTAGTTTTAAGTTTCAGTTAGTAAATAGCACTTTGAGTGGTAAAAACACAATGTTTTAAATTTTTATTATTTTATATGTATGAGTATTTTGCCTGCATGCATATAAGTGCACCATGTGTGCGCAGTGCCGGTGGGTGCTAAAATATTTATTTCTAGTCAGGTGTGGCATGTGCCTTTAAACCTAGCACTCAGGAGGCAGAGGCAGGTGGATCTCTGTGAGTTCAAGACCAGCTTGGTTTATGTAGTGAGTTCCAGGCTAGCCAGGGCTACATATGATTAAGAGTTTAGGAGAAACATGAAATGACATGAGTTAGGTGAACCCCAAATTTAAATTTAATAAAAACTTAAAGTTGCACCAAAGTGATGGTTTTAATGTCTTAACATTAAATTGCTAGTTGAGTCTTTGAGGGCTGAAGATGTAGCTTATTTGGTAGAGTGCTTGCCAGCATGCACAAGGCCCTGGGTTTGATCCCTAGCACTGCATACAACTAGGCATGCTGATACATGCCTGTAATCTCAGTACTAGGGAAGTGAAGGCAGGAGGATTACAAGTTCAAGCTCATCCTTAGCTACCTAGCTGCCTAGTGAATTTGGGGGCTACATGAGACTCTGTCTCAAAAAAATAAAAAGTAAAAATAAAGCACTTGGTGTGGTAGCACATTCCTTTAATTCTAGCACTTGGGAGGCAGAGGTAGGCACATCTCTATGAGATTCAGGCTAGCTGGGGCTTACAGGAGACTTTTTCTCCGAAAAAAAAAAAAGCCATAGAGGATCTAGAGAGATGACTCAGCAGTTAAGAGTACCAGTTGCTCTTCCAGTGGACCTGGGTTCAGTTCCCATACCCACATGATGACTAACAACTGTCTGTAACTCCTGTTCAGAGGATCCAACACTGTCTTCTGGTCTCCATGGCATTGCCTGGACATGGTGCACTTACGTACATGCAGGCAAAACATTCATACATGTAAAATAAAAATAAATATAAAAAATTTTAAGCCATAGAAAGAGAACTACAAATTCCATAAACTCTTCCATCTAGTAAACCTGTAAATAAAGGAACCCTGCTCACTGGTTCTATCTATTGCTTTTTCTTAGAAACTAAAAATACTGCTGATCATGATGAGTCACCACCTCGAACTCCAACTGGAAATGCACCTTCTTCTGAGTCTGACATAGACATCTCCAGTCCCAACGTGTCTCATGATGAGAGCATTGCCAAGGACATGTCCCTGAAGGACTCAGGCAGCGATCTCTCTCATCGCCCCAAGCGTCGTCGCTTCCATGAAAGCTATAATTTCAATATGAAGTGTCCTACTCCAGGCTGCAACTCACTAGGTGAGTGTGCCCTCCGCCCCATCACTATTCCATGGCATGAGTGTTCTGTTGAGATCTAGCTTCTTCGATTCTCCAGTAGTTATATGTTCAGAGTACTCATGCATTACCCACTAGAATAAAAATTTTTCTGTTCTAGGTCTGTTGTCCATATATGTTAATAGAGCTAGTTGCAAGAAAATTAGTTATGATGACTCATTCACTTTATTGAGTGCTTTTGCCCGTGAAAAATTTCCTCCTTTCCTTAGCAGAAGCAAAAATGGAAGGTGAGTTATTATCAAATATCTCATCATACGGTATACAGTTGATACGAGGTCTCATAGAGTGTAAACTAATGTGCAATAATGGTTGTAGGGCCACAGCTGTTGAGGAAATGAGAAAAACAGATTCTTACTGAGAGGCTGTAAGTCTAAGCCCATATGTATGAGACTTGACCCTTTATAACCAGTTTTTAGTTCTTATGGCTTTGTGTATTTAGTTAGTATAAACAGGATAAAATATTCTGTGATAAGTATCTTGTTTTCTCAAGACTTTTAACCTTTATTGAATCACTCTAGGGATTTTTGTAATGATTTGAAGCTTATTTGTGTTGCTTAGGTGAGCTGAGGTGCCAGTGTTGGGCTTAAGCCTTTGTGTGAAGTTGGAAGGTGCTGATTGAGAGATGAGGCTCCTTTCAGTATGAATTTTTTGGTTTCCCAGTGCATATAAAAGTTATTTTTACACTGTACTTTGGTCTTTTAAGTGTGCCAGTAGGATTATATATTTTTAAAATACATACTTTAGAAAATGTTTTTGTTAAAAGTGTTGATGATTCTGAGCTGTTGGAAAATGATACCAATAAACTTGGCACATCCTTCAGTTTATAAAAACATAGTATATCTGAAAGCAAATTTGTATAGTAGTGCACTACATTTTATATATGGTGTTTGATCACTGAGCATAGTTTTTCTGTATGCAGGAAATGGTCTCTTGTTTAATAAAAAGTATATATATAAAAATATAAATATAAGTATATATATATGTATATATCTATATAAACGTAGTTGGTATAGCAACCTGAGATTAAGTCAATCACAAGAGAAAGTGGTGCAGTTAAGAGATGTAGTAAACCCAAAGACACATGAGGCTATTGTTAATGTAATATAGCATGCTGCTTTACTGTAAGCCTTTTTATTATTATTAAATAGAAGAAAGAGTACACAGAAAGGATGATAAAGTAGGCATTGTGGTGAATGCTTTTAGTCCAAGTACCAAGGAGGCCTAGGCAAGAGGCTGTTGAGTTCAAGGCCAGCCTTGGTTGCATAATGAATCTGTCTCTAACTGAATAAGAAAGTAATGAAAAGTATAATAAATACTTAAACCAGTATCATAGTTTCTTATTGTCAAAGATTATTTGCTGTATAGAATTGTATGTGTTGTACTTATCTGTGACCAGCACAGTAGATTTGTTTATATCAGGTACCAAATGCCTGAGTTGTATGTCCCAGTTAACATTGTAGCAACTGCAGTGTCATAAACTGATGGGAAAATTTTCAGCTCCATTATATTATGGGACCGTTATAGTTGTGGTCTGCTGAAACATGAGGCAGTCCATGTTCTCTAGTGTTCTCTAATGTTGTATTCTCCTTTATCTTTTTTTAGTCGTATTGAGACAGGGTCTCCCTGTAGCCCCAGCTGCCTAGAATTCACTATGTAGACCAGGCTGCCTCTGCCTCCCGAGTGCTGGGATTAAAGACGTGCAACACCATGCCTGGATACTATATCTTCTTTTAAAAAGACTTAATTTTAATTGGATATGGGATGTGTGTGTGGTGGTGGTGTGTTTATGTGCACATGAGTGCAGGTGCCCCCAGAATCCAGAAGAGCATTGGATTCCATGGAGCTAGAGTTGAATGAAGGTAGTTGTAAGCCATCCAGTATGGGTGTTGGGAACCAGACTCAGGTCCTTTTCAGAGCAGCAAATGCTCTTAATGAATGAGCCATCTCTCCTACCCCTTTTATTGCATTGTTGTTGTTGTTATTATTATTATTTTAGTATGAGTATTTTGCCTCCATGCATGCATGGTACCTGCACATACAATGCCTGCAGAGGCCAGAAGAGGGCGTTGGATTTCTGTGGAACTCAAGTATAGACAGTTATTAGCTGCCATGTGAGTGCTGGGAACCAAACCCTGATTCCTTGCAAGAGCAGTCAATGCTTTTAACCTTTGAGCCATCTCTCTAGCCCCAAAATTATGTTTTTAATAATAGAGTCTCAAAGAACTGACAGCCTAGATGCCATAAAATACTATTCCCCCACACTTGGATTATTTTTACCCTTCAAAGTTTACTATATGGATTATGCTGTATAATTATTTTATTTTGTCTTTTTGAGACAGGGTCTCCCTGTAGCCCCAGCTGTCCTGGAACTCACTATGTAGACCAGGCTGGTCTTGAACTCACAGAGATCCGCCTGCCTCTGCCTCCCAAGTGCTGGGATTAAAGGCGTGCGCCACCACACCTGGTGCTGTATAATTCTTTTAAATCCCAATGTTACTTTTACCCCGTTACAATTTCCTTTTTATCATAAAAGGTGAAGGTTTTTTTATTCATATAGTATATGTGTGTGCAGATGTATGTGCTTACCTGTGGCAAGTTAGAGGAGGACATTGGGTGTGGTGGTGCACGCCTTTAATCCCAGCACTCGGGAGGCAGAGGCAGGTGGATCTCTGTGAGTTCAAGGCCAGCCTGGTCTACATAGTGAGTTCCAGGACAGCTGGGGCTACAGGGAGACCCTGTCTCAAAAAGACCCCCCCCA